GGTTCAGACCCACTAGCCACTCCTCCGAAGGAAGGTTGGGCAATCTACTTCCGTAGTGATACTGCCTTGGAAACCCAAGGAGGGGTAGCCATGAGTCCGGTTCGAGTCTATGGCAGTAAGTTAAGTTCTTCATGATTTGACATGAAACGCTGTGGAAACTCTGACACTCTCTCATGTTTATTTATTATTTCCAAATTTAAAAAAAAACAATAAATACATATATATGTCAACTCAACAAGTAAGGCCTAGTAGAAAGCGAGGTGTCTCCCCGTGTACCCTCCCCCGAAGTTCCTCAACTCCTGGCGCCCGGGAAGGCGTGTACATGAACGCATGGAGAGGGAGAAACAGGCTGGCCGGCGAACTGGCTGGTCTGGTGACCTGCGAGCCCGCCCCCAGCCCGCCCCCGCCCCTGGGCGCACACACTCAGGAAGCAGCTGGCTGCAGGCCGGCTCGCGGCCGCACACACATCCCCAATCCTCCTCCGGCCCTCCCCCAGCCGGCTCCCTGCAGCCGCGTTCACACTGCTCTGCCTGGGCAGCCCGGAGCGCGGCGCGCACCGCCACCAGCGCGGGGCGCCCCCGCCGCCCTCCCCACTCCAGTCGGCCAGATCGCCCCGGCGTCCCCCGACGGGAATCTCCCAGCGGCAATTAGCTTGCGTCCGGGAGCAGCCTTTAGCCGCATCCCCTGGCCCGGGGCGGAGAGGATGAGCAGGATAGGCGAGGCTCCAAGTGGAAACGCAACTTTTTAAAAGCATTATCCGCGCGTGTGTGCGTATGCGTGGGGGGGGCGGAGAATGAGCTGATGCCGAGGGTTCCGTCGCCCCCTCCGCCTCCCCCGCGTCGCCGCTGCCCTAGCACACGCTCGCGCACACCCGGCTCTGGCCCTCGGCGCCCGAGGAGGGTTAGTCTCGGAAAAAGCCGAAGCCCGCGGAGCGCGGCAAGCTGGAGCGCCGCTGTCACCCGGCAGGCTGGCCGAGACCGGGAGGGATCCGCACGCCGGCTTTGTTGTGGAGATCCCGGTTACCTGGTAAGTGGATGCCAGAGGAACTTTGCTCGCGGGCGACGGAGGGAACGAAAGCGGGCGATGGAGCGTAGAGGAGTGGAGGCGCAGATGCGCAAACTAGGAAACAGAGTTTGTCCCTGCTGAGCCGGAGGCGTGGGCGCCCCTTTAAGGCTCCATGCACCCCACCCTCGGATTCTCGAAGAGTCCTGTGTTTATGGAGATCCATCGAAAAGACATTCAGTTAGGGTCAAGCTGCGTTCTTGTCAGTTGTGAAGAGCGCAGCATTTGCGGGAAGGAAATCAACAAGGTTTTAAAGTTCCTGGATAATTAGGAGTTTCTGTTTTGGGTTTTTCTTTTAAACTGCAGGGGCCTGAGGGCTACAAAGTCAGGGCAAGTGACTGAACGCACAGGGTCGGTTCAGGCCACTCCGCGTCCTCAATGCAGGGACACTTTGGAGAAGTGGGAAGGGATGGGTGACTTGAGGTCGTCGCGCACACGCGGGACGCTTGCCTTTTGAAGTCCCACGTGTTCGTGACACTCCACGGCGGCGGTAGTGGACGTTCACCTCGCCTCACCCCACGCCCCTACTGCTTGGGAAGGGTCTGGGGGTGGGGGACCCGTGTCTGTCGCGGCCCGGTAGCGGCCGCGTCTGGGATCGGAACCCTCCCACGTTGCGATGCGCAGACACTTTCAGACGCGCACAGTAACACCCCCCCACACACACACACCCGGTTCGTCACCTTGCGTTTCCATTTTTATGGGGCCCGACAAAATGTCAGCACTGTTTGGAAAGTGTCTCAGTCTCGGGGACTTTGTCCTGCGCGCGGCTCCAGTCCCTATAAATGACCCTGTGTGTGTTTTGAAGTCGGCCCGGCAGTTCTCTGGAAAGCGTGAGTGAGCAGCCCGTTCCTCCTAGATACACACCTTGCCCCGAGCGCCACTTCCACGTTACTCACTGGGGCTGACAAGTCACTTCGGGGATGAGGAAGTCACCCAAGTGTCTGGAAAACTTGGCCCCAGCGGATTTGTCATCCTGTGGGTGATTCAGTTAGGTACCTGGAGGGAGAAACTTGGGGGAAGGTCGTTTCTGGTTTCGCCGGCCCCCTCCTTGGAATTTCTGAGGGATTCGGGGGTCTCAGGGCGAAGCTGGACCCCGAGGGTCTGGACGCTGGCGGAGTGGGGCGTGGCTTCTGGGTCCCACCGATTAGGGCGTCCCAGAGACGCTGCTCTCTCGTCGGCTCGCTCGGGACGGGGTTGCACAACAGGAAGCCGCACGAGTTTGTTTTGTTTTGCTCGCTCGCTCGCGGATCTGCCGAGGCTAGGGGCGGGGGCAGTGGGGAGGCACCCGGTCGGTCTGCCGCCCCGCGACCCGCAGTTGCCCGGCGCTGCGGACCCGGGCTACAGGACAGGAACCCATCAGGACTGCGCTCCTCCTGCCCTGCCCCGCGCGCCTCTCCCAGCCTCCCCACTCGCCTCCGGGCTGGAGAGACCCGCGTCCCCCTGCTCGGTGATCCTCACGCCCAGAGCGTCCACACCCGCGGCGGGGGTGGAGTGGCAGAGTTACTTCCGGAATCGCCGGTAGTTGAGTCCGTGGGGACTGGGCTCTTGGGATTGCAACCCCCTTTTGCAGAGAGTAGGGTCTGCTCCCTCTCCCCTAGGTGGCAGAACTAGGAGGCCCCCCCCCCATCTCCTGGGACAACAGCATCTCTGCAGAGTGGGGACCCAGGGGCCCTGAAGTTGGTGAGGAGAGGGGAGTTCTGCAGCTCCCTCCAGCGGACCGGTCCCCTTTGGGTTATGGGAAAGAGAAATCTCAGGTATGGAATGTGGAAGCTCCACGCGACCGTGGCGATCACGACCGAATGAGGAAACCTAGTCCCAGAAACTGCGGGGCCTTCAGCCAGGTGTGGCCAACCCGGGACAAACACTCAAGGTTCCCAGTTCAGAAAGCATTTCTTGGCCTGGGGCTGAACTCAGGACAAACGCCAAGTCTTCTTTCTGTGCCCTCTGACAGCTTTGATGAGTCACAGATTTCTGCCTTGAGAGTCAGATGAGACGTCTGTTGCCCCCTCTGTCTCGGTCTCCACTGGGCCTCCCTTTTTAGACTTGCACTGGGGAGAATTTTTGGTACACAATTGTGCTGGTTTTAATCTGCCCATTCCTACTCTCCTCCCTCCTCCAAGTTTGTTTCTAGTGGTGATGAGTGAAGCAGGTGGAACCCATAAAAGGTTGCAGAAAAAGGATCTGCCACCGTGAAGACTGTTGATGAAAAGTTCGAAACAGTTTAGAAGTAGTGTGTGCTATGTTATTTCTGTGATGGGGAACATACAAAGGTTTGAAGATTACTTTTAAATGCACTACAGTTTCATCCGTTGTCTGTGCAACCAGACTAGCTTTAACACTGCTTTTGAAAGAAAGGATGGGGGCCCATTTTTTAGTCATTTCCAAAACAACTTTCCTTATTAGTGGTGGTCATTGTTGTTAGTTTCTTTCCAGTCGGCTCTGACTCATGGTGACCTTAGGTTTAACAGAAGGGATTCTTGCTTGATCCTTATTGGTAGTTTGTTAATTCCTTTGTTTTGTTATTAAAGGACTCTGCTGTCCTTGAGATGAATAAATACCTCCCTGACTCCTTGGTTCACCTTAGGCCAGTTTTGGGAGAACCTCTTCTCTCTGATTGCCTGACTTTAATCCCAGTCGGGTTTTGGGGATTCCATCTCAGGGGTTGGTTTACTTGTTTTCTTGGGAAGAAGTGATCATTTCTGCAAATAGGAACAGCAGCTAGTTTACTGATGGAACCCAGAATCCATCTGTTATCAGATGCTTTTGAGATGAGTTCAACTCACAGTGACTCTAAGAGGCAAAAAAACAAACAAACAAGCAAACAAAAACTGCCCCATGAGATTTTCTAGACTGTGATCTTTATGGGAGCGGATTGCCAGGTCTTTCTCCCTCTGAGCTGGGTTTGAAACACCATCCTTCCAATTAGCAACCCAGTACTTAACCATTGCACTACCAGAGCTCTTTAGGGTCTATCTAGTGGGTGAAATTCCTACTGGGCCAAAACAGGCAGGGGGGGGGGTGGGAGAGGTTAAATAACATCTAGTTAATGTCTTGTATAGGCCCTGCCTTCATTTGTCTGGCAGAGAGTGGCCTTTTTATTGGTTCAGAATAACCTGTATTCAGCAGGTCAGTATTCTCAGTGTGTGTTTTTTCCCGATTATTTGTTCCTTCCTGCTAGCAAATTAAATCTGAGGACATTCTTTACACTGTTGTCCCTTTCATATTGTCATTATTGATCTCTGGAGTTGGAATGTTAATTTGTAGCTCTGCCAGGGTACAGAAGGAACGCTACTTGAAGGAGATGGTTCAGGAAGAGATGTCTTGTGCACACTCTCATCTCTGGAGGAATCATTTCCTGTATTTCTGATTGTTTTTAGTAGAGGATATTATAACGAAGGTAGAAATACAAGACTGAACTCTGTAATGTTGTGCCAACTTTGGTTGGCTCATAGGCTCAGTCAGGGATTTGATTAAAAGATGCTTGAGTTCCATAGTTCCCTCATTCCCACTTCCTTTGAGCAGAGTTGACACAAAAGCCAAGTTTTTATTGAGGTGAAGTAACCCCACAGAAAAGTGCACATACCTTGAGGTTGATAAAGTTTCACAAACGGAACACAACTGGGTGACTAGTATCCAAATCAAGAAATAGAAGATTACCAGCACTCCAGAAACTTCTCTCATGCTCCGTTCTAGTCACTGCCTGCCCCCAAGGGTAGCCACCCTCTTGACTCTAACAGATAAATTAACGTTGCCTGTTAGTGTTTTTTTTTTTTTTTTCCCCTATTGTGGCTTATGCAAGTGGAGTCATTCGGTCTATACTCTTGGGCCTGGCTTCTTTTGCTAGTCACAGCATTGCTTTAGTAGGTCAGATAATCTGGACTCTGCTTTATAGGTGACTGGAAGAGTTTGACTTGCAGAAATTAGATGGTAGGACAATACTTAATAGAATAAACCAAGCAAAAAACCTGTTGTTGGTGAGTTGATTTTGACTCACTGCATTCCCACTTACTACATAATAGAACTGAGTTCCCTAGGGTTTTCTTGGCTGTAACTTATACAGAAGCAGATCTCCAGACTTTTCATCTGCAGTGCTGTTGGGTGGTTTGAACCACCAATCTTTTGGTTAGTACCCAAAACCCACTGTTGTCGAGTCGATTTTGACTCATAGTGACTCTATAGGACAGAGAGAACTACTCCATGGGTTTTCCAAGGCTGTAAAGCTTTAGGAAGCAGACTGCCACATCATTCTCCCTGGAGTGGCTGGTATGTTTGAACCGCTGACCTTTCAGTTTGCAGCTGAGCACTAAACCACTGCTCTACCAGGGCTCTTTTTAGTTAGAAAATGAGCTCAAGTAGTTTGTGCCACCCAGGGAACTGATAATATAATTTGTTGTTGTTGTTGTTGTTGTTGTTAGATGCCGTTGAGTTGGCTCTGACTCATAGCCACCCATGTACAACAGAACAAAACAATGCCCGGTCCTGTACCAGCCTCACAATGCTTGTTATATCTGAGCCCATTGTGGCAGCCACTGTGTCAATCCATCTCTTTGAGGGCATTCCCCGCTTTTGCTGACTCTCCACTTTACCAAGCATGATATCCTTCTCCAGGGAATGGTCCCTTCTGACAACTTGGTCCCTTCTGACAAAGTCTGGGCATTCTGGCTCCCAAGGAGCATTCCAGCTGCACTTAGTCCAGGGACAGATTCGTCAGTTGTCCTGACAGTCCATGGTACTTTCAGTATTCTTCTCCAACACCACAACTCAAAAGCATCAACTCTTCTTAGGTCTTCCTTGTTCATTGTCCAACTTTCACATGCATATGAGGCCACTGAAAACAATAGTAGGATTAAGGAAGAACACTAGTGAAATGGAAGCTATGTTTTCTGTCCTAATGACAGTTTGATTAGGGAGCTCCTCCAGTCAGGAGTGTAGTGAGACCAGGGCAGGTGGATGGAGAGATTGCT